AAACAGCGTCGAGGTCTTCGTACTTATTTAAACTCGTCACGTAAAAGGTATACTCTGCCGGGACAGGTCCTTTCACTAGGTCCGTAATTGTATCAAACATCTTGCCGAACAAACCACCATTAGCTCGCTCTTCGACATCCTTGTTCGTTGTCTCGTGAGAACTAGATAGATTCGAAACTGAGGAACTTGAATTAGCGATGAGAACACCATCAACGGGTACGCCAGCCGCCGTCTGATATGAAATGGTTGATCGGGTGGAATTATATGCGCTGGTGGAGCATACGAGGAAGAGTAATGACCCAGCGATAAGCATTTTAAGACTGGTTTCTTAGAGCCAACGAGCAGGAAGAACTGGTTCTGGTCAACCAATCCTCAAGTTTTTTCGCAGCCTTTTGAGCTGTATCTTTCAGCTATGCCATGCAGATGAAAGCGCAGTATTCTTCGTCATCAAACATATGAGCATCCGCCACCTGAGTTTTTCATAAAACGGGGATTTACAGATGTCCAGCTCAAAGATTCTCTCATGTTATATTTTACATATTGTGTTTCTGGAGTATATAGTTACCATATTAGGCTTAAGAAATAGCTCGGCAAAAATCCTATTTGTGTAATTACTGTAACTTTGTGCCCGAATACAACAGTGTATAAATTCACATCGCAATTGTGAGTGTTATTAAGTACCGAAGTATCGATATTTATGGAGATACGCCAGAAAATATGACAATTTACATTTGACGATACTTATACTTCTACATATATATCCACAGTATGTACTCTTAAAAAACAGAACTTAATACACAACGAATCGCGATGTAGACACCCTCCTGGTTGGAACGTCAAACTCGACCCTTGGGATTGTCAAGACGCCAAATTTGAGTTTACAGCGCGAAATGCATGTCGATTCTGTTGTTTGCAACACTTGTAGTCAATCCCACGACAAAGTCGTAAGAAACTGGATTCTGTCGGAGAATGGGTGATGAATTTTAAGTCGGATAATGATACCGGCTTCATACGAATATAGCTATCACTGGTTTCAGCAGAATGAGAAGATCGGTAGACAGAGGGTCGGTAGCGATGGTTGCTTGCCTATAAGCGCTCACCAGCTTTGAGTTATTGCAGGTTAGACACATCCATAATTAGACTGCGTCCTATTACACAGTGTGTGGTACACACTTAGTTACTGATTAACTTAGTGTGCAATATGCAAATTAGTAGGTGGCTACAATTAGGTACGTTTATTCCTATTTTAGGTTGATATTAGGATTAGAATAAAAGCACCTGAAATTTATTCAGTCTTCATTTGATCAACACACAGTTGTGAATAAAAACGCGCGTACGACAGCTACGCGAAAAGACAAAGCTTCAGGCTAACGTTGCCTCAGCGCAAGAGTACATGTATTAAGCGGTCCCGTCACACCACTGTGAGGCCGCTGACGTTAGGTGTCGGAGTCGTTGTTAGCCGAGTAATATCTCTCTACCTCAGGACACGAAAAAAGTCGAGATAAGCTCGATCATTCTTCAAGCATAGGAACAAGGTCGGGGTTGCCATCTCCAATCAATGCGACCGCGTGCGAGATTGGGCATAACCTTTTATTTAGTGGCGTTTTCAAAATGGGAGATCTGTCTGCCGTGGGTTTTTGCGCAGCGAATCGCGCTCGAAGCTCTTATTACCTATCAAAGAACGTGAGAACTGGTGAAACAAGCAATAAAACAATAATGACGACTGCCCATGAAGGTGACGACCTTCGTGGGGAATCTTCGAGGAATCGTGGCTAATATAAAGACCTAACACGTAAGCCTTTCCTTCTTGAGTCACACTTCATTGCTCAGAACGACATCGCTGCTTTTTGATGGACAGTGGAACAGCCACCGGGGATACAGCCAGATAGTCATACGTTTTTAGCAAGCCCAAAGTAGGACCTCCGATGTGCTTGTTTAACTCTAGATGTTAAAAGTGTGACGCAATTCCTAATTGGTACGATCGTGAAATGTCCGACCCAGCGAAATCGCACCTTAGACTTATAGACCGAAGACACTGCTTGTGTAGAAATTTTCAATGCAGTCGATGCAACTTCTTACCCACAGCATATTTGTGTGTTGTATCTACCCCAGCTGCTTCTGAACAATTTGACTCTCAGAAGTAGCGTCGTGTATCCTGTGCGTGACTCTTAATCCTACTGAAAGAAAATTAGCTACAGTGTTGATGTGAGCATGTTGAATAAAATCGACGGATCATTTCCAATCACCAGGTGGCCGCATGCAAAACCAATATATATTAGTGGAAAAGGCGTTTCAACATGCGTGAACCCGAGGCGGTATACATCGAAGGTGTTTGCACCGCCCTAGAGAGCAGTTCCGAGCGCGCTCCAATTTCTTGTCCATTCATCAGGGAATGCGAGAGCTAGATAACAATATCCAGGAGCTCATAACGCGTGTTGCTACAACGGTGTCAGCCCCTCTCCCATCAGTGGAACCAGTTACCATCTCCTTGAGAGTATCTTTTTTTTCACCATCCCCGTCCATCATACCTTTTAAAAAAAGTGAGAAGCGTCAAAGCTCAAATTGGTTAAAATGCTCCATATCATGAGGGTACTGGAGACAGAAACTTTACGAGACTTGAAGGCGGACGACCTCCATCATGTTAAGCTAGATGAAAGACATTTTTTAAGCTGCTGGGCTTCACCCCGTTACCCTTGTATATGTTGCCTTTTGTAGTATAAAGAATCGGTGCATTGCTTGTCTTGTTTGTGCGGTACAATGGATCGGGTTCACGCAAAGGCAGACGTTATATCCCTTACGGAAAAGAAGCAAGTCTTGGTTGGTCATCATACACCCATTAGAAAAGCGTTGGATTCTACTTTACCTCGTGGACATCGTGATCAAATGAACTCAGCCTTATAACGATCAATTTTCTGGGGAGTCTGGACTCACGAACTAGATTTACCGTTTACATCAAAGTGCCGAGATTGATAAGGACGTCATTAATTTGATATTTTCAGTAACACTTTCTATTACGAAAGAAGTGCAGCGGGTAGAACCTGTGGACAAATCGTGGGAACTAAAGATGGTGAATATGGATATAGGATATCCGTGCGACTTGCGACGTGATCACAAGATAAAGTGTGAAGGTACGTAACCTTTAGGTGCGTGTAGCATTTTCCCATCTAGATCTAGATGTGAAGTATGGAGTGCCACAAGTAATGAAAACTGAAAGTTAGAAGCTAGGTGAGACGCACTTGTATTGTAACGGGGTTACACATACCCTGGTAAACAAGTTTGTGTGTCACACCAGATGGGCATGGTGTGAACACACCCATACAAGAATACGGCACGGGGCTAGATAGCCAGTGGGTTTACATGTATTTAGATTCTACTATACATATTTAGGAAAATCTACCATTTAAAATTAGGCAGCTTTGCCGCAGATAAAAAGCAATAAAGTCAGCTTTGAATTTAAGCGGAAGATTAAATTAGCCTTTGGTTAAGGTTGTAAATTACTCTTGGAGTAAGCGGAGTGCGATCCGCTAAACTCTTACTTGCTCTAAATATAGAACGAAAGGTCGGTGACCTAACTTACGCTTTCCCACTGCACTTGGTGGCACTTGTAGTAAAACTACACCTGGGTCGTTACGATTGATCCTCGGTGAGAATAATATAATTTCCTCTTTGCCCTAGGGCATGCAGTACGGGCTTAAAAAACTGATGTTCTTGCTTGGCCTTGAGGGCGTGCAACAACTTGCAGCGCAAGGCCCCAAGTCAATCGGTGCGCATCTAGAGGCGTTTTCGAGTTACGAAAGCGCGCTGCTAGAGCACCTGCAGCAAAAGATGTCTGCATCATTTGCGTCTATGATGCCACCGTCAGTTACGGATGATTTTCTCCGCCCTAAGCCGCTAATGGTGAGCGTTAAGGTCTTTGAGGGGAAGGATGGAGAGAATCTCCTGCTCTGGGTGAGAGAGGTCGAGATGGCCATCGCATCCACCTTGCTCCAGACCGAGCAGCAGCGCGAGGCGCAAGCTATCTCAAAGCTCGGTGGTCGAGCGTGAGAATGGGCACTGACGTACGGCACTTCGGTCGAAACTGCATTTCCCTTCCAGGCGGAGCTAAAATTGCTGCTCTCACGAGTGTTCTCACCGCCTTATCAGGCATATCGCGTGCGATCCCGTTTCCTTGACGCCCGACAGGGCAAAAAGGAATTAGTGGACTTTGTCTAAGAGATGTGTACTCTCATTGCCGGATGGCAGCAGATTCCCTTTCTGAGGCGGTCACAGTGACCGTGTTTATGGAAGGCCTTCGCACTGGCATTGCGCGTCCGTCTTTTTTTGTGAATGTGGCATTGAATGCCGAGTTCAACCTTATGACGGCACGACTTGGCTAAAATGCACACTCTCATAGCTCGTTAAGCGGGCGTGTGCCAATTGATTTCAGTTATGCTGAAAAAGTGGATGGAGAGCTTCGAGCTGCCGGGCAGCGTTCAAAAACGTTTTTTTGTCTACGTAACCTTTGGACTGGTCGCGCCTGCGCAAGGGTTGAATACGGAACGTGTATGCAAGCCGGGCTTGCTGGTCGTAAAAAGCGACTGTGACGGGTTTTGAGAAGCCATGGAAGATCCTGATCGATTCTGGGGTGCTGGATAATTATGCTCGACGCTCAAAGATCGAAAGAAATCAGCTGTATGCTGAGGCACTGAAAGCGCGGTTGAGTGACACCGTCACTGTTCGCTTAGCGACGGGTAATTGTGTCACTGTGCCGAGAATCTCTGTGAAATTCGGTGTCGAGCTTTGATAGCGTGGGACGCTGCTTTGTCTTAGATTTGTATGCAAGGTTTGACCTCATCCTTGCTATAGCATAGTTAAATCACCATATGTCATGAAATGATTGGAGGCCGAAGACCATGGGCGCTACACGCACGTCTCCTGGTCAAGCTATGTTTAGTCATGAGCCCACCTCTGCTAAGAGAGAAAAATGCTTTTGGTGCGGGCACTGGACCAAGACGGTCAACGCGCTGGAGATCATAATATCCGAGTTTGTGAACACCGAAGGTTTATCAGACAGGAGTTTCGAGCATGGCTCGCGGGCTTAACAATGAGTGGCACGTAGCTCACCGAGTGCTGCTCAAGTATCGGAGCAATCGCTGCATGCCAAGCGTGGCTACAAAACATCGAGGATGAGGCCACAGTGATGAACGTGGAGTGGCTCGTAAATCGTTAAGCATCGCTCATGTTTCAAAGCAGTTGCTGCATGCTGCGAGTGGCATAGTCGAGTGAGGTTCTCTGGCAAGGCCCTTCAGATGCTCGTGGAGTGGCACGCTATCA